TCACGACCCTGGTGGATAGAGGCAGCTCCTCTAATGTGGCTACAAGCTGGGGAAACCATTCTGTTAAAACACATCCATGAGCCTACATCTCTTCTGCTCCATGGGAATCTGGTGCAAACTCACTAATGCACCTAGGAATCTGCAGAGACATCATGGAGAAGACAATTTCACCCTGCAGCCTCCCTGTATTCCTACTGGCAAATACCTGAAACTACCGACAGCATTAATACAGATTTTCTAGGTTTGTGGATATGGTGTACCGAAGTGGTGCATACTTTCATCTTGTTCCTGCTTCCAGCTGACCTTCAGCATCCAAAAATCCTTACTTCTTCTCCGTGGCAGTTAAAGTGTTCAGTCACCGTGCAAGGACACAGTGTCTCAATAATATTGCTCCTTGAGAGTGCTATTGTTTACTTACTCTGTCTGGATGTGTAGGACTTGGAGCACTGTCTCTCCCCTCATCTCACTGCCCCTACTCCCTATAAGTGACCAGACGAGTTCAGTTCTCAGGAAGGGCATTTGCAATCTCTGCAAGTTTTCATATTCTGCACACAAACGGACACTTTCAAAGCTTAATCAAGGATTTCTCTGAAAATGTTTGTTTACTTATGAGTGAAAGCAGTATTCCTACTTGAAGAGTGACAGATGCTTTCTTTACAGTGACAGTAGGGGCTTAGCAGGCCACAGTGTGAGAATCATTGCCATGTTGGGTATCATTCCTACGACAAGGGAAAAGTCATACAAGTGACAAAATGTAAGCAGCTTAAAAATATGATTATCTTTTTTTTTACTTCTCCAATAAGCATGATAGAAGTGCAAATGTTTGCTGAAGGTTAATACTTGATTTTCAATAGGCTTAATGCTACCATGAAATCCTGTTTTCCACCAGATAATTATGCATCTGCTAACGGTCAGTTATGTCTTACCAAGACTGCTGAATGACATCACTTGGCCAGAGGAGCCGACACATATTTGCTGTGGTGTTGTTATACTTGGTAAAAGGTACCAGTTTGCTGTAGATTGGGTATGGTGCCATGATAGCAAAGGAAACACACCAGGTAGCAGCAATCACTTTCAAGGCATGGGATTTTGTCTGCCAGACCCTGGACTGCAGAGGTTTGCAAATGGCACTGTATCTCTCCAGAGATATGGCAACCAGGTTGAATGTAGATACACTCACAGAGACACCTAAGGCATAAGATAAAGAAAAAGTTTATTCTTTTGGTATAAATATTCATATTATTTTTAAATAGTCTTGCCAACTTTCTGTATGCATATATAAAGTTTAAAATGTAGCAAACTATTTATAAGCTAAAATATTTATAAATATCATACTGATTAGGTCAGTGAAGAGTGTGTGGGCAATGGGTCTAAGTCTCCAGACTGATGTTCCTGCTCTGTGCTTCTCTAACTCCAGAATTCCAAGAGAAAAGATTCATTCTGTCAAACCATGAAATTCTGAGAACATGGAAAGAAGACACTTTTCCTCCTAACTCTTCTCTTTGCTACTGTGGTTTATACACTCCAGTGATGGCACTGAACTTCAAACACGCGTTTGAAATCAGAGGGATTATGCTGTTAATTACACTTTTAACACAGAAGTTCATAGTCCCTCTTCTATTGTTTTAATTTTTGTTTCTTGCTTGACTGGTGATCTGTTTTTCTCATTCAAGAGAATTAATTGTGTTATTACTTTTTTTTAATTAGATGCTAATGGAGTTACAAAGCAGGAGAAATGAAGCCATGAAGCTGAATTTTGTCCTTCAAGTGCCCTTAAATTCTCCTGCTCATATATTATAAAATATAATGCAGCAATCTGCATTTCGGTCACTGAGGTGCCCCAGCTTATCACTGCAAGAATATAAATATTTTTTCTTAACTTTATCACAGATTTTTCTTTCAGTGAATGAGCTTTCATGTAATAGTCTTTGTGAATGTTCTAATGTGGGTCAGAATAGAAAATGCCAGCATGTTTACAGCTTGCTTTGCACAAATTATCTGTAATTTAAAATGAGTCTTCCTACACCTTAAAATGAGAGATAAGGACATAGGTGATTCAATGGATGGCTGTCAATAGAAGCTTCTGTTAACCTGAATTGCTAATGGGAAAGTTCTATATTCTGATTCTTAAAATAAAACCCCTTCAAAATGAAAAACTTGATATTTGAAAATATTTCATGATTTTTTTTAGAAAGTAATTTTCACAGCGTGAAATAAGAGAAAGATGACAATGCTTCAGTATTTTTTTTATGGTATTTATGGCAGCAATCCATTATAATTGTATAAACATGGCCTTTAGTTTTATTGGTTTTATCTACAAAAAGATGTTGATTTCCCATTCGCACACTTTAGGTGTGTACTTTCACATTACATCAAGTTCTCAAGGGCACGAGTTGAAAGGGGACCTAAGGTTGCTGTAATTAACCCAGGATCTCCCAGAGTGGCACAAACTTTACATAATATTTTCCTTTCTGTCTTTTTTTTTTTTTAAGAAACAAACAAAGGCGCAGGAAGCATTGGAAGTTAGAGAAAATCGCATAGAGAGATGTACAAAATCCAGGCATTCTGAAACTCCTGGCTCCACAACCAAATTGGGTATGGCAAGGCATAGAAAAGTGGTGCTTCTTGAAGTCAGCCTCTAAAACCTCTATCTGTATTTTGTGGTCTCCTGGTGAGCTCTGATCACACTTGGTCTGTTGTCAAAAAGGGCTTGCTCTAACTTCCAATGCCGCAAATGATACCTACTTTGGCCTTTTATTTTTTTTTTCAGGTATCACTGCTACCAAAAATCTGTGAGCAAAAATCTGCCCTTAGTGAGGACTGTACAACCCTGTCATTTCTGACGGGTGGTCTGAACACTGCTAACACCTTACCCCTGCCAGTGAGGGGTAAGCAAGCCGATGTGCCAGGTTCCTCATTAAAGCTTGGCCGTGTAACATACTTGTCATTTAACCTGACCCACCTAAGCACTTCTGTGTGTTGATAAAATTAAGTGGTGCCTCTGTGTTTTGCTGGATCACTCTGAGGAAACCAAAACCATGAAGATTTGCACTACAAAGTTTTTCCTTCATGATTTTGGTAACTCTTCAGTGGCAGATAGAAGCAATCAGCTTTTCACTGGCCTTTAATGACCTTCTTGCCTATCTCATTGTCAGTCTTCAAAATAAGTATCAACTTCCAAGACTTACCCATGAAATAAGTGGCAGTTTTGCAAACAGCGCTACCAAAAATAAAGTCTTTCAGCAGGTTGGGAATGAGGGTGAATGGCATGCAGAAAAGGCAGAGCATCAGGTCGCTGACTGCTAGTGACAGCAGAAATGTATTGGTGACTGTTCTCATCCGCTTGTTTCTTATCAGCACTGTAATTACCAGAATATTCCCCAAAACGCTGAGCAGAAATATTAAACAATACAGCAGAATCCGAATTATCTGATGCAAATCTGAAAATTGTCACAAAGAAGACTCAAGTTATGCAGCATACAGCTCCTAGACTAGTATGATATGCCTCATCCTTTAACCAAAAGATAAAAAAAGCTTTTCTGTAATCAGTTTTACTAAGGTTTATGTCTTTACACCAATGCAAAACCAGGGCAAGCTCTGAAATTCTTGAACTTATTCTGATCTATCTGAATTGTGCAACATTAAAACACAATACATGCAATACAATGTATATTTGGAGAGTCAAATACAACTTCTTAAAAGCTCATTCTTCTCACAATACTTAGTGTGCACCACGCACTCACTTTGGGAGTTCCTCCTTTATGCAGAATTAAGAAATGATACAGCAAACAAAAATATTTTAATACATAAATTATTTTTTTCACCCTCAGAGAGCTCTAATTTCATATTTAATCACTTTCATGCACAGTATCAGATAACTCCCTTGTTATTTAATTGCTCAAAGAGTAAAAACCATGTTTCTCCAGGTCCTTTGCAGAGCTATTTACAGTCTGTGCCCCAAAGTGCTACTGGTTTACCTTTCCTTTGCATCCAGATTTTCTAGTTGAATTTTTAGCTTGGAAAACCAGCACACTGTAAATTCTTTCCTGCCTATTTCTCATCCTAATTTATCAGCAAGCAGTTGATTTTGCACTCCCTCTCAGAAAAAGCCTTGTGTATCTGTTTCTTTCCATAGTATCTCTACTTCCAGCTAGATCTAAAGCTGCCTGAAAAAATCCATTTTCTATACATACCTCGAGAAGGATAAGGTGGATCCTCCACACAGAAAAAAGTGTCATTTTCCAAGATGATATCGCACAGGAAAACAGTAATATTGCTGCCGTTCCCGAGGAAGCTCGCATCAACTATTTCCATTCTTCAGTATCCACAGGTTAGCTTTGATGAAGAAGAGGGTGGGTTTGTAACTATCTGCCCGTTCCTTCAGTAAACAAATACATTTCTGAATGAAATCTTCAGGAGGAATACGAGAGAGGCAGTTGTGCAAGGAAGCTCTCCTAACTCCCCGTCAGGAACACCCAGCACACAGAGTCCTGTTCAGGCTGAACAAGATTTATTCCCCGGGCACACGAGGCAGTTCAGAAGAACGGAGCGTGCGTGCACATACACACTCACACGTATGCACCCACATGCACATGCACACACATCCCCTCTGGTACTTTTTTAGATCCACCCTCTTCTGTTACTGGCCTTCTGTTGGGATTATAAACAGGCTAGAAAAAGATTACAGCATTAACCCCTTGCAAGATTGCTTCTACTCACATCTCTGCAATATTTCTCAAAGGGATTCTGCATTGCTGTGCCCAACAAATCACAACCAGGGAGTGATGAGAGTGATAAATCAGTCTCTCAGCCAACATTTTAAATGGTACAAGTAGCTGAATAAAAGGGCAGAGAAGAGAAAAACATAGTGAAGATTTTCATGCCTTACATGAAAACGATTCTTATCTCCACATTTTTTTGATCAAAATGAAGACTGGCTATGCTCAAAAAAACAAGAGCTGTTACATGTATCTCATTTGGTGAGGTCCTAACTTCATACAAAAGAGTTGTATGTGCCTGATCCAAAACCCACTAAGTCAATGGAAAGACTCACTAATTTCCGTATTCTTGGATCAAACCTTATGAAAGCATGGTGTTAGAACTGTCGGTTAATATAAGGAAAAGCCTACACACATTCTCACTGCAAGGACTTGTTTACAACTTGAATACAAACTTGATGAGCTGATAAACTGTGGCACATTAGTTACGCGTTAGCGTAAAAAGCAACAGTCTTGATTATTTGAAAGAAACCCTCTCTTCTGAGTCCTCCTTTTTGAATACATAAATATCAACCTTTTTGGTATTTCCACAAAGTCATGGGCTTTTAACCTCCATTATACAGCTTGTTTATGGCCAAAAATGTAAATTAATACTGTAAATTAACCCCTGCTATAAGTCAATCGAAAACAAATTTCACTTTTAAAATATCTTCTAGTTAAATAGGCAGAGCAATAACAGGTTCCTAATAACAGGTTTGGACCCCTTAAAGTTGATATGCACAGACTGGAAGGCCTGGATTTCTTTTCCAGTCTCTCCAGGCTTGCTTTATAAAGCCATTGACAGGAATGGGTACATAGGAGAACTGACTGAAAAGTTACATCTGAAGTTCTAACTTCTAAATTGCCTTGTCTTTAGCAGATTAATTATGTTGTTTCCATTGCTTTTACAGATTCTTGCAGTTTTTAAAAATTTGAGCTAAGTAAGTCAAGGTGGCAATCAGCCTATACTATCTTAGAATCATAGAATCACAGAATGGTTTGGGTTGGAAGGGACCTTAAAGACCATCTAGTTCCAACCCCCTGCCATGGGCAGGGACACCTTCCACTAGACCAGGTTGCTGAAAGTCTGTAGGTGTCTCAGCTGAAAGTAGCGTTCAGTCCAGCAGGACTCAATTCCATTTTCAAAGGTGTCATGTATTGGTAGGAAATTAACCTAAAATGACACATTCTGGTTTATTTTTCCACTTGTGAATCTCAAAATAGGAGAAAATCATATTGAAGATATAAAAGTTAAAATATGTTTCCATTTTTATATTGATTGAGCATTAAGCTTGAAGTTTAGGTGCCAATGTCTCTGAAAACTCAATTTTCTCTTACCTGTCTAATGCAGCTGTAATTTTTGGATATGTTTCCTGTAATTCAACTGATGGGTGTTACTAATCAACCCCTCTATTAAATGACAAACATTTCCCATTTAACTAAACACAGAAAAAATTTTGTTCTTTTAGTTTTGAAATTATTTGTAATTATTCCAATATTTCCTGAAATTTTCCCCAACATTTCAAATTACTGTAATACCCCAAACAGCTGAAATGGCAGCCAAGACAGGTGCTGATTTGATAATGGTAATGCACAAGAAAAGTAATGGATGCTTTTTAGAAAGGGCTACTGAACTTGGGGTGCTTTTTTGCTCTTCTTCATAGACATAGCAAGATGTGGACTAGTCTAAGATGCCGAAACTTCTGGTGAACAACTGCTCTTTTCTTTCAAAATTACTTTTGGTAGAAGAAAAATCAGCAACAAACCAACTCAGACCAAATTTTGCAGCCTATGTCTGCCTTTCTAAGGTGTCCTTCACACTTGAGATACTGATCCTGCTTTCTGTATCCATACATGACTCACTTCAACAGAGTCTTTACATTTTAAAACATTTTCTTCTGTCAAAAACTAGCATTCAATCTGGACAATTTTGAGCTTTAAGAGACTATTCTGTATCAAAATGAGCTACTATAATTATTTATCATTATTATAGGGGTCTGACCTGATGGAAAACACAGGTTGGGTAATTGTGTTCAGCACTTCCTTTACTGAATTAAATAGCCTATAATGGAGTTTGAGTCTTTCTGTAAGCAAGATGTCAAATTGTTGTTCTGAACTTATTCTTAATGTGGAAGACATCTTTCCGGATTCCTGGCACCTTCTATTAGATCTGCATTAGAGAAATCATTTTCAGTTGAGTTGAATGGCTGATATTAGCAGTATTTCCTCTATCACTTTTTACCATAGGTGTGTTGGCATTTAAGGCTTGATTCTCTCTCAATTCCTTTTTCATCTACAGTTTTTATACTGGCTATACCACTGTACTTTGGGGGTGAGGGGTTAATTGCTGGTGCTCTGATGAGTTATAACTTGGTTATTCCTGTACCAGGAAGAAGCAACTATACTTTACCATAGTTATACTTAACTGTATACATAGTTTATGTATATATATGTATATGTAAATATACTTTAGTCATACTAAGAGAAAGATTAATTTTTATTTATGTTGTCAGATACAGACTGATTCTGTGCACTTGTCATCGTGCACTGGGCTTCCAGACTTGCTAAACTGGATTGTGAAGAGCCTTCCACGAAGTCTCCAGGGCCTGGTTAAAAAAGAAGAGAAGAAACAGAGTGAACAGAGGTCTGTGTGAGACACAGTGGTCAGGAGGGAAAACAAGACGAGGGGGATCACTGCAATCAAAGAGGTTACGCTGGAGCTATTGAACTGTATCGTGAGAGTGAATGTCATTCTGAAGTCAGTGATTTTGTCATATCTAAAGAACAGCAGGTTGGTTATTCATTCTTTGTAAACAAGTCATTTCATACCTTCCATGAACATTGTGGCTCAGGTTGAAAATCTTTTCTAGTTATTATACAGACTTTCACAAATGCTAACACATAAAGATGAACGAACCAAGGATTTAAATAATGTCATACTGGTGCTTTGTGGGGGTTTTGTTTGTTTGTTTGTTTGTTTTTCTCTGTTCCTTTCCTAGTAATTCCTGTAATCGCATTTGCTTTATTTATGACTGTTGAGAATTGAACTGATGTTTTCATGGAAGAACCTACCATAAGTTCAGTAGTCTCTTTACTGCATATAATATCTAGGTTAGATATTCATGAAATCTGTTCATGAAAAATGTAATGGCTTTCTACTTTGCAGTGACTTTGACTCTCCCATTTTATCAGAAAGAGATTTCTGCAATTCTTCAAAGTAAATTTTTGCTTCTCCATCTCCACTCTTCCACAGTGGTTGGAGGCAGAGTGTAAAACATAGACAAGAAGGGTTGAGGGGTAAGTACTGAGCCATGATTGACTCCAGAGGGTGCTAATTTCAACCAAAAGCACCAAATGAATGAGGGAATGCTATCATGCAAATCTCAACCACCGTGTTGTCACTGTTTAGAACAAACTGAATCATCTTGTTCACATGCTCAGATCTCTAAATCTGCAAGGTGTGGCTTTCCTCTACAAAATTTGTGCAGACCATGTGTCCAGAGATTTTTATCTGTTATTAGCATCCCCACCAGTTTTCCTGCTGTGAGTGCCAGACATTTGGCATCACATTTGCACAATTCTTTTACTCTGGCAACAACATAGTTCTAAATTAGAGATTACACATAATGTTTAATAATTTCACTATTTCCTTTAGAAGTTCTGGATGAACACCATCTGGTCCTAGGCTGAGCTGGATTTAGCGTCTGCTGGTTAAATTGCCAGACTAAATGAGTAAGAATTTGCTATGAACTCTTGACTTCCCTTTTGGAGTGGATTTCTGCTTGAAACATACTAAGATCAAAGAGGTTTGTTTTTCTAGGCATTTTTTTCATAGATTTACTCAAATGTACAGCCAATAATCTTAACATTTGGACAGTTCTGAGTTGCCTTTTTAACATCATTTCTCTCTCTACTGCATTTAGCTAATTGCATGATAGTTCACTCTACACAAATCAGTATTATCTCATTGTCTCCCTGCAAGCTTTAAGAGAGAGGAAAAAAAAGGAAGCTGCTTTAATGAAATGCTTGCTAACCACAGATGTAATTTTATTATTTAGCAGAAATAAAAACCTGAATGTCTGTCCCACTTGAACTTAATCATGCATTATTTGGGATATTGGAAGTTTTAGGCAAGAACTTCCTTTGAGTTGGCTGCTTTATTAGCAACACAAATTTATTAATAAAATTGGCTTTGTTAATTAAGAAATAATTTAGGTGCCATAGTATACCTGTGTACAGTTGAAAGAAAAGTAGATAAAAATATTTTTTCCTCTGTATTCAAAGAAGTGGAGTTTTTTTAATCCATGATAGCAACAGAATCTGCCTTTTTTTTTTTTTAATTTTAGTCTTAATCCCTTTTTTCTGCTGTAATGTTAAAAACTGAACACACTGACTTTGCAGCCAAAACAGTTGCTGTGCTCTGTCATTTCATGCTATGTGTACAATGCTTTCCTCGTCCAAAACCAAACCACACCAATTTATAGTTGCCTTCATTCGTTTCCTGAAGAATAAGCATCTGTTCTGGTTTTTCATTAATTTGACAAAGATCTTTACTTAAATTTAAAAAGAAACTCCACTTGTAAAATGCTGAATTTGGAAAATCTTATCTTTATCTTGTGTCAAAGCTACAAATAATTTTGGGGGTTTTGCCAGGTCTTTTTTGCCAAACAAGGTGCTCCTGCTGCCCTGCAGTGCATCTCCAGTGGCCATGTCCGA